GCTGGCTCTTACTGTAGCAGGAGTAGTAATAATCCCGATGCTGGACAGCTTTCTTGTCGATCTGTGTTTAGGGTTCGAACTGCAGAATAACGTTTTCTCGGCTGCGTTAAAGCCGTGCGAATGTATAGCTTAACTAGAAAATGGAACGTTAAATATTAAAAAGAAAAAAAATTCGTAAAGTTTAACGGTAGAGAGTCTTTGATATCTGTCGTCTTCAAAGCGGTAATAAAAGAGATGTAAAATTAGGAACTTTTTAAAATTTGTGATATCCCAGATAAAACTGATTGTTTGAAAGGCGCTTTAGGTCGAATAAAAAAAAAGTTATATATATATATAATCAATCCATTTTGTGGGGAACACGAGCCTATTTCGAGATAATAAAATTTTAGTTGTATGCCGTGTGTTAGCGAATAACTAAGTCGACTCAGTCTCTCTTGGTTTGCGGCTAAACAGAGAGAGAAAAGAGAAAATCGAGTAAATCTGGAAGCGAACGAGGCTGGACACCGAGTTATACAAGGTCCGTTCGTCACTTTGTAAACATGCGTACGTGTACAAAGTGTGTGTAAAGTTTATTAGAAAAGGCCGACAAAGAGGAAAACCAAAAAAAAAAAAAAAAAAATCACGTGATGGTTTCTTTCGAATCTCGCATGCCGACGGAGGTGGGTGTGTAGATAAGAAGTAAAATATCTGAGTGTGTACACAGTATATAAACGCGAGCGAATGACATTCAAAGGCATAAACAAAACACACACACGTTAGAAAGAATGTCGAATGAAAGGCAAGGTAATCATTATCGGTCAAGATGTTAAGCAACTGTCGTTTGTAACCTAATGAAAGCGTGATTACAATTTGAATTAAAAAAGGGTTTGAAAATAATATAGTTTCTGAAAACAGCAACAACTCCTCTCATAGTGACTGCGTTTAGAGATAATCGAAAGTACATAATAAGAGGAAAATAAAACAGACAAAAACTTTCAGAAACTGACGAGAGAGCAAGAATGTTGGGGTTTTTTGTCACTTGATCGCCAATTGGCCAGAAAAAAAAATATGTGTGTGAAAATAAAGCGCATACAAGTGATAAGAAGATGTGCATAAAACCAGTTGGAATAGTGGGGTCTGTGAAGATTTTAATTCCCTTGTTTCTCAGAGATAACTACCATTCGGCTTAAATAATGCGGAGTGTACTAAATAAAGACTGATATGAAGCCATTCAGACCACCTCACTGTTGAAGCCGGCGAAAACATCAGGAAAATGCTGGAAATTTGAAAAATATATGATCAGTTAATCTCAAAAGGAAACTCAACAATTTAATAATAGTAGTAGTAATAATAATAATAATAATAATCGTGTCAGTGATTATTGGAATGCTAAAAACGGCCCACAGGAGCCGAAGAACTAGGTTGGAAAAAGAGAAAATCAAGGTAGGGACCATACATTTGACAGCATGGCTAAACACTGCGAAAAGAGTGTCTGAACATTGAGGAGGTTTGCTGTCACTTGATCTTCATTGAACGATACCAACTACTACTGATGTGAAAAACTATGTACAAAATAATAATAATAATAATAATAATAATAAAATACCGAGGAGAGTGCTGGAATAGTGAGACGACTTGCTGACACTTAACCTCCGGTAGAAGCTATCAGTCGTTACTTGATGAGTTGGCGGTAGTATTAATAATATTAATAACATGAATAAATGATTTCTGAAAGAGATTTACTGTCACTTGACTCGCAGTGAAAACCACTAAAAAAACACAACAATGCCAGTAGTAGTAATAGTAATAGTTTAATTTTTGTATATGTATTGCTAAAGTGTTGCTTGGAAAAATTAGAAATATGGAAAAGAATTGGAACTATTTAGAAAACTGACAGCATTTAAAGTAATAACAATCCTAAGGAGAGTGCTGGGGGTGGCGGCTGGGTAGGCTTGCTGTCACTGGATACGTTTGGAATTATGATTCTTATTAGAATTAGTGCAAAACGAATCGACTCAGTCAATTATCCATTTTTTGAGCTAAATGCTTTTGTCAATAAAAGACAATAATAAAAAGCAATAATAATAATAGCAACAACAAAAACAGTAACAACAAGATTAGGGTCGTTAGAAATTCGTTGCTGGCGTTTGCATAGATACTGGGGAGGGTGCTGAAGAGTTGAGAAGCCTTGCCGTAACTCAATCTTCAGCAACGACCCCCAGACAAACTGGTATTAACAAGCAAGGCATTAATAATAATAATAATGATAATAATGATAACAATAAAACGCTCAATAATATGCTTAATAACTTTCGGAAGAGTATCATAAAAACCCTACAACAGAAGCACACATAAAAACAAACACCTTTGGCTTCAGGTAAAAGAATTGGTAATGGATTCTATCAAAGAGTAAATTCGCAAAACTAATAACAATAATATTTGGGACGGTCTTGATGACCCTTGCTAAAACACAGGAAAAATATTGAGGAGACTTTCCCCTTCCACTTTATCCCTCGTCAGAGCCACTAGAAAACCCAGTGTTAAAACTGGATATTATTATATTATATAATATTATAGATTAAATATATATATATATATATATATATGCGAATCTGTATATAAATAAAATAAGGGGAAATACGCGTGAAGAAAAAAAAAATGAAGAAAAGAGAGAGAAATTAGTGTCGGCGCGAATCTATTGTTTTTTTTTTTCGTTAATGTCGTATGACCTCTTCGGCCAAACTGTAGGGTTCCCTGTTCGAATCACGGTCGCGTCGGTCGGACTTTCCGCGAGTTGACACCTCGCGTCAGTGGTTGCTTTCGTTGCATTGTTTTTGGTTTGTCGTCCCAACTTTTTATTAATGAACGACAGGACCAAGTCGAAAGCAAATTATTCACACGTCTTTTTTGCAAAGTGCTTTCTAAATTTAGTTTTACACATTTCATACCCTTGGTCGGTAGCGATAAAAACATCAATATGGGTGTGGATATTAAAACAAAGTTTGTGAAACATTGGAACTTGAAACTCCAGACTGAAATTCTGTTTTTACCAGGGCGAGGTCTGCTTGTCCATCGCTTAAATTAGTCAATAATTCCATGCTGATAGATTTGGTAAGTTTTCTCCTGAAGATGAAAAAAAAAGTTTTCTGGGGAATTCGTCAGCCTCTTTTTCTCTTCTTTAAGGGATATTTCTTTATTTGTGTAATTATTATTATGTTTGTTTTTTCCTTTAAGCACGGGTCCCCTAAAACATTACTCTGATGAGGCTGCTGTAGTGGTGGGCTTCCCGGTAACTTGAAGGCTGTTCGTAGGCCAATGTACAACTGATATGAGGGTGAGCGCTTCTAAGAATGCATCTCTCCTCTGCTTGCAGATCAGCAGCAAAAACGGTAGCAGAAATCATTTCCTCTTCTTCTTCTTCTTCTTCATCATCTTTTTCACCTTCTTCTCTATCACCTTTGCTTTCTTCATCGCTGCAAAATGATTGGTTGTACGCCACTCATCCCTTCTCCCACTTCCATGAGTTTCTCTCTCTCTCTCTCTCTATAATCGCCATCTCTCACTCTAATCTCTCTCACTTGTCTCTCTCTCTCTCTAATCTATCGCCCTCCTTCATATTTATTTATTAATTCTTTTCTTTTATTGTTTTCATTTATTTTATTAAGTTTTTTCATTTTTATTTTGACTTTTTTTCTCTTTCGTTCTCAAGAAGCGGATATTACCAACGCAGGTGATTTAGAAAAGTGCCATATTGTGTGTGTTTGTCTATGTATGCGTTTTTATGTTTTTTGTGTATATATCTATTTTTGTGTGTATGTCTTTGTAGATGTGCGTAGGTTCCTGTATATATGTGAGTGTATGTGTTCTTTGTGTACGTATATGTGTGTGTATGCTTTTGCATAAGTGCGTGTTTATACCTTTTGTATATATCTGTATGTGCATGTTTTTTGTGCATATCTATATGTGCATGCTTTTGCATATGTACGTTTTCTTATATATGTGTGAGTTTTTTTTAATAATATGTGTGTGCGTATGTATGTTTTTGCATATATACTTAGGTTTGTCTGTGGCTCTATGTGCACTTGTGTCTGTGTGCGTATTCGCTTTTGTGTATCTGTGCATGTGTCCATGTGCGTGCTGATCAATGTATGTATTCATTCACCCTCTCGTTCTCTTGAACTTCTACTTGAAAACATTCATGAATTATATATATATATATATATATATATATATATATATATATATGACTAATTCATCTATGTTTACAATCTCACTCCCCACCCACAACACACACTAGTAATAATAGACCTGCCTAACACTTTTAAACCGATCAAAATTTTAAATTTAAGTTTATTTTCATAAAAAGTTTCACACATCGATCAACCAGAGATCTGGGTTTTTTTGCTAAAAATACGATTCCCCAGAAAATACCCCATCTACAAAAACATCAGTCGGTTAGTGATTCCTATTTCTCTGTTTATTCCTCGGTCCATTGATGAAGAACACAGACGTGTCCGAAAATTCCGAACTTAAATCCTTTCTCTACGTGCTTCATTTCTGTCATATGGTTAATAATTAATATTTAATAAATATTTATCGTACTGATTATATTGGTACCCTTTCGTTTGTCCTTTTTTTATTAACTAATATATATATATATATATATATATATATATATATATATATATATATATATGTGTGTGTGTGTGTGTGTGTGTGTGTGTATATTTGTATGTATGTATGTAAGTAGAATAAAAATGCAAAGCAATAACTAAGGAAGAAACGAAAACGAATATTGCGAAGTCGGTTTCGTAATTGACAACAAACCTAGAAATAACAATCCGGCTTGCAGCAGTAGTTTCACTAGACTCAATATTATCACTTACGGGCAGTTAACTATTTACACACATGTCAAATACTAACAAAAAACAACACGGTTGTAAACACGTGTGTTCGTGTGTGTGTATTCTTGCACGTATAAAGTTCATTGAAATGTATTCATATACATCTACACATGTAAAATGCATCAATCAATAGACAATCGAGTTTTACACGCACAAATATATACAAAAACTCTCAGTCTGTTCATACTTTTTTCATATCTATCTATCTATCCATCTATGTATATTTGTTCATATCTATGTTTCTCTCTCTCTATCTATCTATCTATCTACTTTTTTCATATCTATCTATCCATCTATGTATATTTGTTCATATCTATCTTTGTTTCTCTATATCTATCTATCTATCTATCTTTGTTTCTATCTATCTATCTATCTTTCTTTGTTTCTATCTATTTATCTATCTTTCTTTGTTTCTATCTATCTATCTATCTTTCTTTGTTTCTATCTATTTATCTATCTTTCTTTCTTTGTTTCTATCTATCTATCTATCTATTTATCTATCTTTCTTTCTTTGTTTCTATCTATCTATCTATCTATCTTTGTTTCTATCTATCTATCTATCTATCTATCTTTGTTTCTATCTATCTATCTATCTATCTATCTATCTATCTATCTAATTCTGTTCATATCTATCGATCTATCTTCAGATTCATTGATCAGTCTATCTACAATATTACATTTAAAATATAAAAATAATTTAAAAATAATTTCTTTGTACAAAATGTTGCATAACAACTTCGGGAATTTAGTATGGACTTTTGTCTCCATCGCATTGAGCGAAACACTTGGTGAGTCATATTACAAATAACAATCAAAAGACCACTTCGATGGATAAGGTAGAAACTAGGTTTTTTTAAATAAGTGTCTTTTTTCATACTCGAAATCTAGTTTTCGCTAGTGTGTACGTTTATTTGCCTGTTCTCCTGACTCCTTACCTTGTCGATGTGTTTATTAACAAATGAACATTTGTGTAGTTGTAGTACGCCGGAAGAGCAAATATATCTGTCTAACTTACAAATATCTCGGTTTCTTATAAAAAGATATATATATATATATATATATATATATATATATATATATGGGTGAGAGAAAGAGAAAGAAATTCACCTATCTTTATACATTAGATTTCTAATTACGTAATGGAATTCCAATTTTCTGTTATTTTAAATTTGACAAATGAAATAGTAAAATTAGTTTATGTCTAAAGTCATTTTTTTACTCTCAGATTATTTTTTATTTTGTAGATAAATGAGTAGTATTTTTGTTACTTACATTTTACATATGAATATAAAACAACTTAATGCTGTTATTTTAAACACACAAAAACACACATATATATTAATTAAAAAAAAAGACCACTTTAAGGTATTGTTGTTATAATTTATTTTACCAGGGAGTTTTTTTTCCCCTGGATCACCAGACCTCACTTCCAAGGATGAAAATATGAATTTAAATTTACACTTACACTTCTGAAGGGCAGTATTATGCTTATGTAAGGTGATTTAACATTGAGCTCCTCGGATTTCATCCTCCTTGATATATATATATATATATATATATATATATATATATATATATATATATATATGATGACCGGCTACTCGTTTCCGCTCACCACCGACTAGACAAATTTTGTTACAGACGCCATTTATGTTTGTTCAAAATCCACAGTTCGATTCCGTAGTTTATACTGCAACTCCGCTGACCATAATCTGGCGTGATCAACAGTTTAAACAAGGTCAGTACACTCATCCCCTCGGTCACGATGACTTGTGAGAACGATCGACTGCTTTTGGGCAGTCTATGTAATATCATTAACATGGCTTGGGTTGACACATGGCTATGTTTTTTTAATCACTTTGCAACGCCGCTGCACATTGGGACTGCCTCCCCTAACATTAAGAAGTCACCTTTCTGGCAAATTGACCATGGTAAGATTTGAACCCAGTCTCATGGTCGGAAAGCAAGCATTATAACCACTCGACCAATGGCCGCGGACACAGGTTGATAAATGAATTTTTTCAAAGTTGTAATTAAAAGCACTGAATAAGAATGAGGAATTTATGGTATCCCAGAGCATGAAGTTAGGGAGGGAGCTTTGGCAATCCACTTGAATATACTCTGCAATATGCCGTTTTTCCAGATCTACATCATACCTCTGGCGATGCCATTGGGGAAATGCCTCAGTGCGTTGTGGCATAACTAGAAATCTGGATAGAGTTACGTGTGTCTGTAATCTTGTTTCAAACAACAAGTTCCCATGGACCTTGGGATAACATTAGTTTTGTTCTGTTCTATGGACGCTGTGCGATCTGACACGACAACCATTACAATACGTCGATCTTGACGAGCGTCTGTATTGCGCAAACGTGCAGAAATGCTTGGAATGTTCACCTGACCACGTTACGTCTAACATGCAAAACAGTTCCCCGGGTTGACAATCTGGCCTCTCTAAGGCCTATTCTCCAACGGTTCTCATAGATGTTGTACTTGTATGAGTTTTGCTATAAAAAGTAGACTATTTTTTTTTAAGCATTCAACCCCAAGCAAGGCTGGAAGCCACTAGCACGCAAGGGGTTATAGAGAATTGGAGCGAGACCAAATAGAAGTGATAGAGGAAAGTATGAAGAGAAGGATAGGGGATTGATCAGGGCATCTGGAGACTTCGATTGACGTTACATTTGAATAGTTGAAGACTATAGCTACCAAGGAAAAAAGAAAAGGGGAGGGAGTTCTACAGGCGAGAAGTGCGAGACATGAAGCTATTGGAGTAGAAGAGACGGCTATATTTAACTGTTTCGACAGTGAAAGGTTGAGAGGGAGATATCAGTCTAGTTGAACGCTTAAATTCATGAAGTTTGTGAACCAGCGAAAGCAGCTCATCGGAGCAGTTACCATGAAAGTATTTGTAAAAAAGACAGAGAGAGGCAACGGCACGTCTGTGAGAGAGCGGCTGCAGACGAAATTCCATATCAGGGCCAATTACATTGCATATTCGTCTTTGGATTTTATCAAGGACCTTCAGACAATTAGAAGGGGCTCCAGACCATATATGGCAGCAATACTTCATGCAAGGGCGACGTAATAGCTAATTCTTCCGAGCGGACTATACACACCTCTAGACTCTTGCAATTTTATTTTCCCTCAATTTATATGAAGAGAGTCTCCAATATATTTTGTTTGTTAATAACATTTGTGTTTTACATCAACGTTAATTAAATACTTACATAATAAAAACTAAATTTTTTTAAAAGTATTTCTCACCGGAAAAAATATCTAGAAATTAACGGATAATTCGCTTCGACTTAAATATCTGTCTATATTTCTAAGATGAAGTATTATGATTATTTACATTATTTGCATTATTCGAACTGTTATCCTCATCGTCATTGCTATATTTACAACGTTTCGACCGTTGTACTCGCCGGCCTTCTTCAGGTGACTGGAATTTCGAACCGAACCCTTTATTTCGTACACCGGGGTAGACTGTTTTAGTTTCACGTGCCATGCCCCTGTCAGATGTCTCAGTTATTTCCCTTTAAGTTGAGTTAAAGAGGAAATAACTGAGACATCCGGGAGAGGCATGCTATGTAGAATCGGGTTTCCCGATCACTACAATTGTAACCTGTTCAGTCAAGAGTCAAGAGTTATCTACCTCACATATATCCTTAAACTGTACCTTCTACCTCGAGTGGCTCCTGGACTTTGTACAGAGTGAACATCATTGTAAAAGAAAAAAAAAGTATTATTATAAACTAAACAGCTTTATATTTGATAGTTTTCTCGTGTCCGGATGTTGGGTGGGCCAAGTAAATATACATTTCGCCAAATGCTTTCAGGGAAGAGCCTTAACTGCCTCATGCAATTTGTATTATTGTCAGATATTCTGGCAATCTGACCTTTTAACTAGCGCCATCAGTATGGTAAACATAGGGCAGAGTAAGTCGATAAGTAAGCATTTCTTTGCAAACCCCTTTGTGTAGGTTGGTTGCTATAAAGTAGCGGATTGTAAGTCAATTTCGTAGACCAGGTTTGAAGCTCGTATGATAGTCTATCCATTTTCAAGAACTAAACCTGAGTAGATATCTCAGAAAACCCCTTAAAGACCCAATAGCGGGGGAGGGTCTCATATATAATCACAAATGAAGGGGGGCTTAAAGAAAGAAAGAGGACGATTAAAAATAAAGGAGAGAAGAATGAAGAATTAGAGGAAAAAGAAAGATCGTGAGATATTGAGAGTTGAATGAAAGAAAGGAAGAAAGAATAAGGTTAAAAAGAAAGAAAAGGAGAAAGAAGGAAAAAAAAAAGAATGTGTTGAAAATGATAGAAAAGAATAAACAATCAGAATGATAAGAAGGGAAGAAGAAAGAAATCCAAAGAGGAAAGAAGAAAGATTAAATAAAACAACGAAAGAAAATGAGAGCGAAATGAACGAAAGGAAAAAAGAATAAGATTAAAAAGAAAAAGTGAAAGAAGGAAAATGATGGAAAAGAATGAATAAGAAAGAAAGAAATCCAAAGACGAAAGAAAAAAGATTTAAAAAAAGGAAAAAAAAATAGAAAGAACAGAAATTGAAAATGAAATGAATGAAAAATAACGTCTAAACTGAATTGACCTGGGGAAAAAGTGTATGAGGCAAAAGTGAGATCGCGTCACACACTACGAAAGACCGGGTTTCAGGCCAACATTTCGGAAGTTGATTTAAGTTAGTCGTTCTCGCTTGACAGAAAAGTGTAAAATAATTATCCTACACTTATTAGCTTTTTTTTTATGTTGTCCTCTTAATGTTGGAAGAAAAAAATTAATAAATATAAAAAAGCGAGAATTTTTAATGGCAATTTTCAAGACTGACAAAACAATCTATTCACCGCCATTTCCTCTTTTATATTCTTGTATTACAAAGCTAATAAAGTAAAAGAAAAGACAAAGGATGGTGGACAGGCAAGTACTCTCAGATTGGCGCAGCATAATCCTATTCTTTCTCATTTACCTTTGTCATGAACGAAGAAAATAATTTGAATGCAGATTTTTAAGGCATATATGACCCCCGTTAGAAAACTGGAAAATTAAAAAATATTTAAACCCATTTTGTTTCAATTTGGCCTTGTGCCAGACACAGCTAAGATTACTAAATATCTTCACAAAGCACCTGTATCTTCCATTACTCTTGATATGACAGTAAGAATTTATTAATACAATCGTAACGACCACAATAATTAGAATAGAAACAATAATAGCAGTAGTCATAGTAGAACCTACTGTCGTTGTACCGAGAAAGGAAACATTTTTTTTTACTTACATGAGATAGTATTTATGATGCTGAGCTTAAATTTAGTACACGACTACAAGCATGGCACACCCAGTGAGAATCGAGCTATTTATTCAGAAGTAATGGTCAATCAGCCCATAGAAGATTTTGTATACTAAACGGATCTTAATTTAGCACATAGCTAAAAACATTTTATAAGATAATCTTCTTTTTCTATGTGCCGTGTCCCTTCACGAAGTAAGTGATCATGGCTCTCCACAATTTCCTCCCCTTTGTAGCTTTTAATAAATTCTGTCTTTTTGTTATCTTTCCTAAACCTTGTTCCGTCATGCATTTGCTAAGACTCGCCTGG